TGACTACACAAAAAAACATTATTGTACTTAGGTGGATATAACGATAAAGCATATAAAACGTACGTTAAAGACATTAATGTAGAGGTTACGAGACCATTAAAGGTTGGTCCGTGCACTCTTGGAAGGCACGGTTAACTTTTGACAAGTATGGTTGAGGAAAATTTTTTCATTATGACTGGAATACAAGTGATACATCATGTGTTTTAATAGAAGTGGTGGGAAATTTTTATTATTTAAGTTATTAACTTTTTGGTACACATATTCCATCATTTGTATAATGACATATAATATACCTTCCTGTGTAACGGTCACTCAGAGATCTCTCTATTGAGAGCATAAGCATTTTAGTGGGTTGTCCATGTAGAAGACAATCTTCTTAACCGCAAAATCATGTCTTCACTTCCACAGACAAAATATTGAACCACCAACTTAACTTCTTTCACTGTTTACTGAGGGACAAAATGACCTTTCTACCCTCAACAGTTCTAACGCAACAGCATGAAACAAAGTTGGACATACAAAATGTTGGATAAAAATTCAAAACTCTAATGACAGGGAGGAATTTGCCTAATTATAAACGTTCAAGAGGGTGGATAGGTAAGTTTTATTATTTGACACTCAAAAATTGAAGGGGCATTTCGAGATCAGAGATAAATGCTCTTACCGGACGGAATATATAAGCTGGGAAATAAAGAAAGGAAAATGCGTATTTAAGCTGGGAACTGGAAATAAAAACATCAACATCAATGTAAAATTCCTTAAATTAAAATAACCGTAACTGTTACATCCCACATTGTATCAAAAGGGAAAAAGGAAAAAAAGGGAAGAACAGCAGTTAGTTTTTCCTCATACCTAATCTCTTCTACGGCATCAGCAAATGCCTCTGAAAAATAAGCTTGACCAAAACAAGGGGAATAAAAAAAAGCCGAAAGGATCTTAATCTGAAACTAGGGAGATGGATATATGGGGTTAGCACTCTGCAGCTTCATCTGTGTTCAAATGTCACGAGTCCATGGCGATGGCTTCCGGGAGCAGTTGGAGAGCCGGGATGTTGGACTTGAGCGGGAGGTGGGTTGGCCCGGCCAACTTCTTCTCCCTTGGAAATCCTTTCCGGCAATTCCAAGAACCTTCCTCACCTCATTTGCTAACTCTATCACATAGTCCTCTTCATGGCCTGTTCATGTCAGAAATTCATTACTCAGTATAAACATCTACACGTATTTAATGTAGAACTTAAGAAAATCAGGTCATGGACCTTGCACGGATAACTTTGATTCATAAAGAGGAATGCGGGTGACGAGTTTGCTCACCTATATCGAACATAGCCTTCTCCAACAGAAAGAGATAGTCTCTATTGTTTCCTCAGGGCCCAAAAGCTGTTGCAATTTGCCTGAAATAGGAATACTTAATGATCAATGGAAGCGGTTGAGAGATAAAAACTTTATTGCAAAAATAATTACAACCATCATCAACTCCGCTAAAACCAGAACAAATTGCAATCTGCATTACCTTGCCATGTCCTCCAATGGAGCAGGACCAAGGTAATACTTGTTCGATTTTTTGTCTGGAGTGGACGTGAAACTGCAATATCATGAACAAGTTAGGTTAGGGACACTTCGCACAACACAGCATTTCTAAATTGTTCTCTCTCATGAGGTGCATGAAATGAGGGATCTACAACAAAATGACTTACACAATAACTCCCGTCAAGGAAGGGTCAGACTCAGAGAACTCCCCTTCCTGTACACACAGAAAGCAAATGTTATGGCAAGGAGTACAAAACAATAACCAAAAATCCCCAATGTAAAGAAAACCGGCTAGTCCAGGGATGAAGGTAGAGTAATATTCAAACTACTCTTACCTTATAAAAGTCAACGAGAGTCTTTGAATCATATTGACATTCTCTCCTTTCCAAGTACTGCAAAGAAAAGAAATGTATTAAGCATGACTATTCGCTGAAGAGGGTATGTGTTGACCCTAAAAACTACCAAGCTTATGTGGCGCGCAGGCCGAGTAACTAATGAGCTAACTACGTCATTCGGTTGTATGCGGGCGTGCCAACTCGTCGACCGAGCTCGGCCGATGAGTAAAATTTGTTGATGTTGCATTGGGTGCGCTGCTGACTTCCAAATCTCACAACTGCGGCCGAGGAAGGAACACTCTCGGCCTTCTGGTTCTAGAGCCTGAAGACAAGACTGCTAGTTTTGCGAAGTTCAATATCAAATTCAGCTTTCAATGTGCCGAATGTAATAACTTGTAACACTTCACTTCGCCGAAAAGGCTAATGAGATGACCTCTGCCAATAAGGATTCAAAAATCCTCCTCGACCGAGACTTGGATAGATAACCAGTCGACCTCGACGCAGTGCTGTTTATCCAAACTGAAGGTGCTCCGCGGTCGGCTGATTCTATGACAATAGTGTTGTTTATCCAAACTGAAGATGTTCGCCGGTTGCCTTCACAGTGCTATTTATCCAAACTGAAGATATGTTGGCGAAAAATAAAATAAAAAATCTCAAGATGTTTCAGAGGTTTCGCTTAGAACGAGGGTTTGCACAGGGCAATTTGTGTGTTGAGTTGGAGGTCCTTTTTACGTTGCATAGTGCCTTGTATTTATAGGGTTGATATTTGCTTGACATGGCTAGATAATTGTGGAGTCCAACTGCAACTCCAACTTGCAGAATGAAATGATCCGTGTGGCTGACTTTTCAAATAAAAAACCCATCTAGGTTTATCCCATCATGACCAAAGACCTAGCCTACCTAGGCTTCTTATCATAACTCCATCACCATCAAATCCTAGGCTTATCACATCACCACATCATCACCAAAAACCTAGCTTTCCTAGGCTCTCATCATCTTTTACCAAAATTGCTGCATGCATCCTGAACTTCAAATTCATTTTTTATTATCACCATATTTTAAATGAATAATATCCCATCCTGCATGCTTCATTATCTGATGATGTGCATATCTGTCAACCAAAACTGACCCAAACCACATGTCCACATGCCAAATATCCACATCAATTTGAATTGTACCGCTTGTTTGGGGATATAATCTGCATACTATTTATCTCGTTTAAGAATATGTCAAGATAATTCATATTAAAAGATTATTATAATAAAACCATAATATTATCCTTTAACAAAAATATCTTCACTTTTTCATTCGACGGTTGAGAACTATGCTTACTCAACGACCTTGATTGCACGGGCCGATGATGTAAATTTCGATCCAAACAGTATGACAAAGATCGCTGGTTTCATAAACCAAAACACCAACTAAAAATGTATGTTTTCCTACTCTAGCAAGTATATCCAACACTCTCAACTGACAATCTATCACCACAAAGATAAATTTTATTGTTGAAAAAGCGTACCTCCATTGCCAATTTCTCCCTTTCCGGCCCTCCACGAACAGAATAAGCAGCACCCCACTGTTGGAACAGTTTGAATGTTAGAACGAAACGCTAATTGAATGAACCATACAACAAAAACCTCAAAAATAAGTGAACGTTTAATGGGTATCTGTAGTACTCTAGAGTGTTACTTACGCATACAGCTCCTTCTTGGTACTCCAAAGTGCAAGTCCGAGCAGGGTGCTCAGGTGCACCTCTGTGATCAATGCACGCTTCACAATTCAAAAACATTATGACCACAATCAGTGACAATCAAACGACATGTAACGAATCGAAAGTACAATAATACATCCAATTTCTTCCAGTCCAGAGACTAATGACACATACCAAGATCAAACACACGCCTGTAGTCCTTGATGTAACCTATCACTTTCTCGTTGTACTCGAATCTTGGGTTCCACACAAGTGAACCATATCCAAAGACCCAGAACACCATGGTTGCGTTTGACCAGTGGCGGATCCACAGTGGGGTCAATGGGGTCGCACGACCCCTTGGAAGCCATGGAAACAACCTTAGAGACCCCTTGGAGCTGCTGGTGCAACCCCTTGGCTGCACACCAAGTGTTCGACGAAAAGTCCTCGGCTAGGCAGCAGGTTGAAGACGAAGGCGCTCACGCGCCTGTTTTTTTTTTCAAAACAACCTAGGCAAAAAGACGTCGTTTTGGCCCAGGAAAATTTTTTAAATGACCTGGCCAAAACGACGTCGTTTTGGGCCAAGTCTGAACAAAAAAAATGCCCAGTGTGTCCTGGGCAGGTGTGAACAAAAAAAAATACCCAGCGTGTCCTTTTCAGCCCTATTTCACACAGATCTAAATCCCTTCATTCTAAAACCCCCAAATTTCTTTTGTTTTCTCCTCCTCCAACCCTAAGTTCCAAAATCAATCCCCCCCAAACCCTCAACTCCATCTCCTCCATTGATGCCACCATTAAGGTGCCTTTGTGCTGCCATCGTCGTCACTGTAGTGGTGGTGCCACCAGCTTTGCTCTTTGTATTTACTCATTGTTATTGTGAAATTTCACAATTCAAGTAAGTTCTAAACCCTATGTATGATATATTTAATTTAATTGAAACCTAATTCGTATTTATTTTGATTATATTGGTGGTTTGTTTATATTGTGAGTATTTATTTTGAATATTTTGTATATGTAGAATATATTTAATTTAATTGAAATTCAATTCATATTTATTTTGATTATATTGATGGTTTGTTTATATTGTGAGTTTTTATTTTCATTATTTTGTATATGTAGAATGCAAGATGAGATATTTAATTTAATCGAAATCCAATTCATACTTATTTTGATTATGTTGATGGTTTGTTTATATTGTGAGTATTTATTTTGAATATTTTGTATATGTAGAATATATTTAATTTAATTGAAATTCAATTCATATTTATTTTGATTATATTGATGGTTTGTTTATATTGTGAGTTTTTATTTTCATTATTTTGTATATGTAGAATGCAAGATGAGATATTTAATTTAATTGAAATCCAATTCATATTTATTTTGATTATGTTGATGGTTTGTTTATATTGTGAGTATTTATTTTGAATATTTTGTATATGTAAAATTATTATGGAACGGTTTTTTAAGAGAAAGTCATCATCGGGTTCGGGTAGTTCGAATAATGTTGATAGTTCAAATACTGTTGGTAGTTCAAGAACTCCAAGTTCAAGACAAAGTCAGTTAGATGGTGTTTTGGGTAATCTTGAAGCAGATCCTGGATTGAGAACTCGAATAATGGATTATAATGCTAATATGAGAGATGAGGTCCGAAGATCATATCTACAAAAAGGACCTTGTCAACCTAGAGGTCATAATTTTCCAATAACTAATATGTCGGGAATTAATCGACATTTCATTCCCCAATGGTTTGATGAGTTTGATTGGTTGGAGTATAGTATATCTAAAGATGCAGCATTTTGTCTCTATTGCTATCTCTTTAAAACCAATTTTGCACAAGTGGATAGTGAAGCTTTCACTGGAGATGGATTTAAGACTTGGAAGAAAGGGAGAGAAAGATTTAAGATGCATGTTAGACTGGTTGGGAGTGTTCATAATAAGGCTAGAGAAGATGCTACAAATTTGATGAATCAAGCTACACATATTGAAATGGCAGTAAGCAAACACTCCGACCAAGCTCGTAAGGCTTATCGCACATGCTTGAATGCATCAATCAAGTGCACTAAGTTTTTATTGCGCAAGGTCTTCCTTTTCATGGCCATGATGAAAGTGCCACTTCAAGCAATAGGGGAAATTACTTGGAGCTATTGCAATTCCTTGTAGATAATAATGATAAAGTTAGAGAAGTTGTGATGGAAAATGCTCCGGGGAATCTCAGATTAGTAGCTCCTAGCATTCAAAAAGAAATTGTGAATTCATGTGCCTTTGAAACACTTGATGCTATCATGGATGATCTAAAAGATAGATTCTTTTCAATATTGGTGGATGAAGCACGTGATGTGTCGGTGAAAGAGCAAATGGCTATGGTGTTGCGTTATGTGGATGACAACGGGCATGTAATTGAAAGATTTGTGGGTATCCAACATGTTACCAACACTACTTCAAGTTCACTAAAGGATGCTATTGACACATTATTTTCTCGCAACGGTTTGAGCATTTCCAAGCTACGAGGACAAGGTTATGATGGTGCTAACAATATGAGAGGTGAGTTGAATAGCCTTAAAACAAAGATATTGAGAGAACAACCTTGTGCATATTATGTTCATTGCCTTGCTCATCAACTTCAACTAGCTCTTGTTGTCGTAGCAAAGAAGAATATAGACATTGCCTCTTTTTTTGCAATGGCTAATAGTGTGGTTAATCATGTTGGAGCATCTTGTAAGCGGCGTGATTTACTTAGAGGGCAACTTCAAGAAGAGTTTGTGATAGCTTTTGAAAATGATTGTCTTATAACGAAGCGAGGCTTAAATCAAGAAACAAGTCTCAAACGTGCCGGTGACACACGATGGAACTCACACTATGGTATCTTGATTAGCATCATTTCCATGTTTTCATCCGTGGTTCATGTGCTTCAAATGGTTATTGATGATAATCCTAATGAAAGTGCGGGTGACGCAAATAAGTTAATGAGAGATATACGTACTTTTGAGTTTGTGTTTCACCTTTTCTTGATGAAAGTCATATTGGGACTCACAAATTATTTGTCACAAGCATTGCAAATGAAAGATCAAGAAATTGTGAATGCAATGGTTTTAGTGAAATCATGCAAGGAAAAGCTACATTGGATGAGGAATAATGGGTTCGATGCATTGGTTGATGAAGTATCTTCTTTTTGTGAAAAAACATTATATTGATGTTCCTAACATAGAAGAGACATTTATACTTCCAGGGAGGTCAAGGCGTAATGTTCCAATAAAGACAAATCGTCATCATTATCGTGTAGAGCTCTTTATTTATGTCATTGATGAGCAAATTACGGAGTTAGATGATCGCTTTAATGAGGTAAATACCGAGTTTCTTATTTGTTTGGCATGTTTGAGTCCGAAAGATTCATTTGTAGCTTTTAATAAACCAAAGTTACTTCGTCTTAATCAATTTTATCCTCAAGACTTTTCGGATGAGGATCGTTTGGCACTTGAAGATCAACTTGAGATTTATATTCATTATGTGCGTTCCAGTAGTGATTTCTCTCAATTGGAAGGGATTGGTGATCTTGCAAAAAAAATGGTGGAGACAAGGATGCATCAAGTATTCAATTATGTATATTTGCTCATTACATTGTCTTTAGTTTTACCAGTTGCAACTGCTTCAGTGGAGAGAGCATTTTCTATCATGAATATTGTTAAGGGTCCACTTAGGAACAAAATGAGAGATCAATGGTTGAGTGATAGCTTGCTTGTTTATATTGAGAGAGATATTTTTGCTTGTATTGAAAATGAAGCTATAATGCTTCGTTTTCAAAATATGAAACCTCGTCGTGGACAATTATAGCTTGTAATATTGTTTCCGTTATGAATTATAAATGAAAGCAGTATGATTTCATTTTCAACATGTTTTTCCATCCTAAATTTTTTTTTGAACTTTTACACTACGACCCCTTGTGGTAAGATTCCTGGCTCCGCCGCTGCGTTTGACTACTGCAAAAAGTACATTGATGTAAAAATCCCAAGCTCTAATAAACCAGTCCAAAATAATAACATTTCATAATATAAAACAGACTTTATATTGCAAAGCTCAATGAAATTGAAACCTTACTTTATATAAATTAATATTACTAAAATTCAAAAACTTCAAACTTTATTTTCCTTTTCAGGAAAAGAGTTACTTAATTTCATAAATCATCCAAAAGTAATAGATTTGATAATTGTATAAATCGTTGGAAATGCGCAAAGTTCTGAGATTTAAAAAATAAATAAAATCTCACAAAACCCAAATGATTATTAATGCACTCGACAATTTAGGAGCTAAATGAATTGATTTTTCCATATTTGGGAATTTTCCAAATAGAGAAACATCAAGTTCGAACTTTTCCAATTTTCCCCTTTTCCTATTTTCCGAGCATCCAAACAGAAATTGCAGATCATGGCACCAAAGAACAATTAAAAATATGAGAAAAATCAGCGGCATTGTCATCCAAGCAACAAAAAGTTCAACATTTACAGAGGAATCGGGAGCTTACAATGAAGATAGCAGAAATCTTTCCGAGAACAAAGAAAAGGAGATGAAGCTTTTGGAGAAACCCCTGGGCCGATCTGATTCGATAGATCGAGAAAGCGAGAAGCAATCGACGGTGGTGGTCAGTGGCAAGGAAAAAGAGAGAAACGAAAAGAGAATGAAGCTAAGCGCCGCGTTTCTCTCTTCTGGTTCGTTTGTCTCTATCTCTCTCTTCGCCTTCTCTTTCTCTCTCTCTTCTGGGTTTCGCTGGGTGGGGAAGGAGAGAACCGCCAGCTCTCCGTATTTATATATCGAGGGGAAGCGAAAACCCGCGTGGGTGTGTAGTGCATGATTTGCCACGTGCTCTAGATTTGTCAGTGATGTATGTGGTATGGACTTTTGTATCATGTGCATCCATCACATCCTTCATAATTTCTCATCCATTTCTCTTTATTTTTTTATCATTTAAATAAATAAATTTAACAAAATCGACGTACAAAATTAAATATATGTATAGAAAGCAAAAAGGGATTTGTGTTGATTATTTTCCTAAGTAATCTGAAAATCGCTCAATTTCCATATACACTTTTATTTGATATGCTTTTTATTGTCGTTTGATTTATTTAATTTGATAATATAAAAATAAAAAGGTGAAAGACAAAAAAACAGCGAGTGATTTTATTTCCTTAAATAATACTTTAGTTTTTTTATAAGAAGGTAATCTGATTGGATAAGGTAAAAATAATAATGTTGTATGAACCTTTTGTTTGGGACTAATTAGAATAATAATGTAACATGATGGGATAAGGTAAAAAACAAGTGGGAATAGCACATTCACATCATGTTACCACTTGTTTTTTAATTCCAAGTTTCTAAATATTTTAATTCCAACCTTGAATTAAAATATTTAACATGGGAGACAAACTAAAAGGGTTAGGACAAATTCCAAGTTTATAAATGTTAATATTTTAATTCAAGGTTGGAATCAAATTAATTTGTTGACTGATCAAAAATTAAAAGAGGACGGTGGTGTCTAATTAGTATGCAAATGTGATTCATTTTTTATATGCGTTTCTTGTCTTTCGTAATTGATTTTAACTTGTAACCTCGTTTAATAAGTTTATATTCTTGTCACAACTTATGTTTAAGTAAACGAAGTTCAAAATTAACCTCTCAAAACGAAGTTCAAAGTTAATTGTATACCTAGTTACTTGATATTATTAAAAATAAAAATAGCAAGCCTTCAATTTTCTGGAATAAATACATTAAACTCGGTGTTATAAATGAAAAATTATACGTGTAAATGTTGCTACCACAAAATCATATCAAAATGATAAGAATCTTTGTAGTCTATTCACGATCTTATCTTATCCTCATATGATAATATGTTATAACTTGTGTGGTTATAGCACATTCACATTTTTTTGGAAGAAAAACAAAAGATTAACAAATAAATATTTTTTTTCAAATACTTGTTCAATTGTTAGAGTTAAAACACAATTTATTTTTCTATTTGAAATCTTTAAATAAATAAACCTAGACTTCACTATTTATTGCCAAAATTGTGTAATTGTTCCAAATTTGCATCCATATTCCATACCATACATGTCCATCCCATCTAACCATGATGTATGTCCACATCCATGGCCAAGATGTATGTCTACATACATAGCCATGATATATGTCCCACATACATATATCATGATGCACATACATAACCATAGATTGTATTTTGGTCCAAAACGGGGATTGTATTTTGGTCTAAAACTTGGACTGTCTTTGGTGTAACGTCATACCAAAAAGGAAATTATCCAGGTAAATTATCCAGGTTCATTGAACCTGGACAAGTTTTCACAGCTGTTATCGTTTTCCGCGTTGTCAAATTAGGGTGTGTTTGTTTCACCTTCTTAAGTGGGACTGGACTAGCTAGGATTATTGTCCCATGTTTGGTATACTTGGGGACTAACTTAAATGAGACTAGCCCGGACTCATGTGGACTCCGGGCCTCGTTAGGTCGTCCAAATTAGTCTAGCGTTGAACCATGGGATTGCTAAGAACGTCTTCCTCACAACGTTGTCTCCTTCGCCGTTCCTCATCTCTCTGTCTCTCCCTCTCTCTACTCTCGCGTCTTGTCTTCGCTCTCGTTCTCTCACTAATGATTGCGTCCTTTCCCTCTCTCCTCGCCCCGAACCCAGATCACGTCCTCTCCCTCTCTCTCCTCATCCTGCTAGATACCGAGCCGATCTGCACGACCCAACCTCGATGTCGAGCCGATCTGCACGACCCAACCCAGATCACGTCATCTCCCTCTCTTTCCACGTCCTGCTCGAATCAGAGTGTCGTTGTTGGGTATACAAGGAACACAGCTGCGATTTCGATTTCGATGTCAATTGAAATTGAATTTTTTATTGTTTGTGTTTTGGGAGCTTTATCGATTCAAATGGAGGAGAAAGATGTGGTTGCAAGTAGTGGAATTTGGATGGAGAGCTTTATCAATTGAAATGAAGTAGAAGCTTTGATTGGAATCTATGGAGTTTGGACGGAAAAAATGAGAGAGAAGAGGTTTCAGGCAAGAAAAAGAAATAGAAAAAGAAAAAAAAAAGAATTATTTTTATTATTTTTATTATCCTACTTCTAATCCGATACTGCATCAAACGCTTCACTAACTTAGTTCTGCTTAGTCTAGTCCAAACCAGTCCAAACCAGTCCAACTTAGTCCCTGAAACTAGTCCAATCCGAGATAGTCATGTGCAACAAACGCACCCTCAGTGCCTTAACTCCCGATGCCTGCAACTACCGCAAAATCGTGTCATATAAGTCATCAACAAGGAAATCAACTGATTTCGGTTCAATGAACCTGGACGCTAACTCGGCACTAAAAACTCTACTGCTCCTTCGTGGTTGGCAAGGTTTTTGGGTCAATTTGGTTGGCGAGGTTAGGCAAATAGGCAAGGAAAGGGGGATCCCAAATCCGAGGTCCCGTGGATTTTGATTCCCTTGTCAGTTGGATTCAATTCCAAATTTATGGCTGGTTTCCTGCTGTTTTTGTAGGATTCCATCGAGGATTGGTGGGAAGATAAGAAGAAGATAATGTGATGATTGAAGTGCTTTGTGCCAACAAGCTCTGAGAGGTTTCTATTTATGGGAGGATAACGTGTTTCTTGATACGAGGTTGGGAAGCTTTGGAAGGTTTTTATTAGACCCGTCAGTTTCTTATACGACACGGTGACACGACATTAAAATAACGGATTTCGGGTCAACACGATAACTAATCAGGTCATTATCGGATGACCCATAAAGAATCCGTTAATAACAGGTTATTAACAAGTATACACGCGGGTAACCCGTTTCGATCCGTTAAGAAAAATAAATTATAACTTTAAAGTTTAATTACTAAAAAATTTATTATAAAATACAATAGCCATATTGTATATATTGGTATATTCTATATTAAATATATATTTCTGTATTATTATTCTATATAAGTTTTTAAAAAAAAGTTTTATTCATTTATTTATTTTTATTACGAGAGTTTCTTATTATCATTAATAGGATAAATTTTATTTAACATGTTGTTGTCCAAAATTAAAATCAACTAGTATAGTATTAGTATAGGCAATAAGACATCCCTACAAGTATGAAAAATGTGAAAGAATATATAAACACTCGTGATTCATCATTCCTCCACGAGTAGACAATGGTTATACTTACATTATCGTTTAGATTTTTTAAACCCTCCAAACCGTCATGAATAGTGTTTTTTATTTGAGTGTAAAAGTAATAAAATTAATAATAATTATTGTAGAAGTGTAAGAAATATAAAAATTATATATATACAATCACTCATAGTGACAAAATTTACAACTTTCGTGAAGGGGTCAACTTCGAAATCCGACACTATAATCCATGAACCTTAAATTTGTATTTAACCGTCGATTGTCGTTTAGGCTTTATTCTTTATATTGAATTTCGTTTTTAAAATTTCTCTTTTGAAAACATGATCTTCTGGGGACGTAGGAAGATGAACGGTTCGGATCTTTGATATCACGTCTCGATATTTACAGTTAACTGAAATATAAGTCGATGTTATATAGTTTGTAGAGACTTTATAAACACCAAGCAATATTTTCACTAACGGTAAAACTCTGAACATAATATCAACGATCCAAACCATTCATCTTCATGTATCCTCTAATAGATCATGTTTAAAAGAAAAGAAAATCTAAAAAAAAACAAAATTTGGTGAGAAAAATGAAGTATAAATGTAAACAACAATCAACAGTTAAATTTTGATATGTGATTTATATGATTATAGTGGCACATTTCAAAGTTAAGCCCTTCACGAAAATTGAAAAGCTTGTCATTACGAACGTTTATATATTTTTTCTATATTTTTCACACTTCTACATTAATTAAAAAACTATTGGAGACTTTACTTAAACAATAGCCATAGGATAAGTGAGAGGAGAGTGCTAATGCAGAAAGCCTTACTGAAAATATCATCAATATAACTCTTGAAGATAATATATTAAGTCAAAGTTCCAATACCGTTTCCCATGGTGATTGATGAAAATTAAAGAGTTTGATTGTAAGAAAATGTGCAAGGTTCCAAACCTTGAAATATAACTCCCTTAATTTTGCAAATCTTTTGAAAATTTGATATGTTGTAATGTTGTAATGTTTTTTATTTTATTTTTTATTATGCTCTTATTTTGGGCATGTAAATATTTTATACTTGAAAGACAAATGCGTTTTTATGTTTTGAATGTGATAATATTGTCACAACCCGTCCCATATATATATATTTATCGACGGCGTGAATTGACGAAAATACCCTTGAACGTTAGTTGTGTAATGTGGTTTAAGGGTAGCTTTGGGTTAATATTCTTAAAATCCTAATTGTTTGAAACCAATTAGGATTAAGTTATGTTCTTTTTGGTGGTTGACCAATCCTAGGCCACACACAGACACTCTCTCTTCTCTCCCCCGTGTCCTCTCACCCCTCTCTGACTCTCACTCTCTCTCTTCCCTCTTACATATGGACAAGGGCAAGAACACCCCAAACCTTGTAGATCGAGGTTGAAAATGGTACCATTGTGTTCCTAAGGTCCTCGCGAGTTCAAATGTACCAATTATAGGTAAGGTTACTTTCGACTTCACGTAGAACCACAAAGTCCGATTCCATGCACTGTTCATGCAACTTTTATTCTTCGATTTTCAGGGAATTCTAAGCACATAAAAGGCTTAAGGAGGTCCTCACGAGCCTTGGGGTAGTTCGTTGGAAGAGTTTGGACGTCGGAGGGCCGAGATCGAAGCTTTTCAAGTCGACCGGATTATCGAGCTTCCTCAGGTAGATTCTAGTGGAATTCAAGGCTTAAAAGTAGTATAACGTGATTCTACATGTTATTAGCTTCATTTTGGTACCAACTGCATGAAAAATGGTGAAGAAACGAAGGAGAATAGTGAGTTTGAAGTTTTGCCCAGTTTCCGGCGCCGGTGACGGTCGCCGGAGCTGGAGGTAGAAGGTGAAGGAATATTCCGTCAAGTATGACGGAATATTCTCACGCCGTCAGTCAAATGTAACGGAATCTGTTAGGTTTAACAGAATATTCCCTAACGGTGGTTAGGGAATTCGTCAGGTTTGGGCCGCGCGTGGGGGTGTGTTTTGCCGTGCCCTTACCAACGCGTGGCAGCGCGTGGAAGGTCCAAAAATATTTCTAAAAATATGGGGATGATCCTGAGGTTGTGTAGATCACGATGATATATTCATATACCTATTTTGAGCAATGTATGAGAAGTTATTAGCTAGTTTTGTCTATGTGTTTTAAAATAACGTTTTTATAGTTAATTCGCATATAGGTGAGACTTATCCCGAGGACGAGTATATCCACGGGCGACTCGGGGGCTACGACCCTTTGACATATCAGTGAGTGGGCTTTTGGTTTTCAGTATATATTTATATATTTGATATATTTCCCTGAAATGCATTTAAATGAATGTATGTCTTGAATTTTCATGCCAAATGCCTTTATATTTTGGTTATGCATTTCATAGTTGCATATATGTGTGTGTGTGTGTGTGTGTGTGTGTGTGTGTGTGTGTGTGTGTGTGTGTGTGTGGTGCTGTGGAGGCACAGGTAAGTTCAGGTAAGTTATGTTTGATTATACGAACTACGAATGACTTGATCCCTATTCAGGGTATGTAGGCATTCTAACGATACGTTAGATGCAATTATACAATAGTTAAGGCAAATGCCTTAGTTGTGAATAGAATGATTATAAATGCATTGATGAACATTGTGCTCATAACATGCACCAGAGTGATTGCGATTTAGCCAGAGAGAGAGTTGCCACAGGCCTGTATATTATGTCACCTCCTGCACCATGTGCTCACATTGGATTCAATTAGGTGCACAGTCTTGTCGTACAGACCACTATAGGTGGTTCCGACTCGTAGGTGATTAACGTATTATCGCACAGCTAGCATTGAGAGAGTAAAATTGAGCATAATTATATTACACTCAATCTTGTCGTACAGACCCCTTTTTAGTGGTTCCGACTTATGTGCAGAATAATGCGTCATAGTAGTGACTCCGGCTAGATTGAGTTTAGGCTATGAATTCAGCCGTACAGACTACCACAGGAGTTCCGGCCAACATATCGTATTTCCATGAAATCATTCTTACCTGAACTGTTTACTTTGTAATATTTTGGCATGGCATACATATGAATATGATTATGTGAAGTATGAATTGACTTGATATGATTTCATATATATTTTTGTATATGCTTATATCTTGATTCTGGTAACTATATATATATATATATATTTTGTAGGAGAAATCCTAATGGGACTCTACATGGATCACATTGACCAATTTAAAGTTGGTTGAAAGGAAGGCTTAAACGTGCAATTTCTTTTCGAGTTCCAAATAATTTTTTTTTTGTTTGCATTATTTAACAATAATTTGTGTTTAACTAAACAATAATACTATTCAAACATACAAAATCGGCTCATTTGCTCTTGCATTATGTAAGAGGTGCGAGGACTAATTATGAACTTCAATGTTGATGTGCAAAATCAACTCATTTGCTCACGCCTCAGCATGACCAAGGTCTCTGAATGTATAAAGTTGGCAGTGCCTGGTAGTTTGGGGGTTTGTGAAGTATGGTACAAACAGTGTTTCTCCAAGTTTTCGAGTGAGGAAAGCTTCTTAGTTAGGGACTTGCAATACCCAAGTCATTGAATAATCACGAAACTTCCAAGTACAGAACAAAGTCTTTGAATGTATAAAGTTGACGGTGCCTGGTAATTTGGGGGTTGGTGAAGTATGGAACAACAGTGCTTCTCCAAGTTTCCAAGTGAGGAAAGCTTCTTAGTTTGATACTCGCAATAACCAAGTCATTGAATAATCACGAAACTTTCAAGTACTGAAGTATAGTAACATGTAGTTGGAGTCCCCCAAGTCTCTGAGTGAGGAGAATTACCGAAGAAGGTATCCTAATTTTCCCGAGTCGCTGGAGGAACAAGGGCTTCACAAAACAGAACCAAAATCACGACATGACCCATATGTTGATCCGGAACTTGACATTCACTTTCTTCTTCCCCACCACCCAGCCCGACCCTCCCTGTCACGTGATCAACGCTGCGTCTTTCACAGAGTCCCGCTCTCAACTCTCGTGAAGAAGAGCAAATTCCTGTTGGAGCTCTTGGTCCGTGTTTTTGGGTCTCCGTTCCTTAACAGCAGGGCACAACTATTTGAGGATGATGAAGGTTTGATCCAGAAGAAGGCATACAATGTTCTTTCAATCACTCTCAGGGCATGCAAAAGTTTACAGCTGCCTTAGTTATTGGTTATAAATTGTTTGTTTTACGGCTAATCGCGTAGTCAAACAAGAGATGGTCACAGGCATCACTCATATAATCTTCTGGAATATACATGTTTTCATCACTCTGTATTGGTAGGGATTCGGAAAACATACAGTCATGCAACTGCAAACTCAATTTCACTACAATTATCTCACCAGCCAACTAATTGTACAAGAAAACCAAAATCAAACAAGGCAACTATTGCCTTAGCGGCGGTTCAATGACTGGCACATAAAAGGGACAAACGCTACCGTGGCTATGGAAGGGAATTTTTCTAACAATAACAAGCAAAAGTATTTCTTGTTAACCATTGGGTGAGCTCTTAATATTTTCTACTTAGGGGCCACCTCGATAGTCTTCTCGAGCGATTCAGTTTTCATAGCCGCAATCCATCTGACCATAGAGAAGATCAAATACAAAGGAGACTTCTTGGGCGCTTACTTCAATGTGGATTCAGTCTCATCTGCAGATAACTAGTTCTGCTTAATTTGCAAGCAAAATAAATGAAAGAAATATCATTCATTTCATTGTTGAAAGGTGAGATTTAACTCTCAGACAGAGTCGCAATACAGTAGAATTATGTTTCGGACTACTATTTTTCCCTGATTTGTTTACATATCACAATTCCTTCCAAGTTCTAATAAAAAGGTGGTTGTACGCAAACATACCTTCAATACGATTGCAGCAAATGTTGGAGTAGCACGGTAGATCTGTGTTTCTACTTGTATGGGGCAAACAAGACCGATGAGTTGTGGCCACCGAACCCAAATGAGTTAGACAATGTCACTTTAACGTCCAGTCTCTCTTTCTTTGGACCCACTACTAGTAGTTTTGTATCCTGCATTCATGTGCTGACAGAATTAGAGGATTCCAAATACACTTTCATTGGACATTATACACCAGAAATGGGTGCCAAGGGAACACATGACAACATACCACACCCTCATCTGGATTTTCCAGATTGATAATTGGATGTTTCGACCGAGTTCTTATCGCCTACCCAAAAAGAGATAACATGTCAAGAACTACACTTCAAGACAAACAAAGAAGAATTGTATTTGGTCTTACACATAAGGTCTAAAAATAGTACAGTTTTTCCAGTTCAAAAACATCACGTAAGTTACCTGTACTGCTGCAACAGCTTCTACAGCACCAGATGCTCCCAGTAGGTGACCAATCATGGATTTTGTAGAGTTCACTCTCAACTGTAAAACGTAAAGATCTCATCGAACATGGAAATACAGGAATTAAGAAAATAGATAATGCATGTTATGTATTGTTGTTACATCAGGATTCTTGCCAAAACAATGAATGAGAGCATTATACTGCTTGAGATCTCCCGCCGGTGTGGATGTAGCATGTGCATTAATGTAATTAACATCTTCCCTAGACACCCCAGACTGTTCTAAAGCCTTTTCAATGCACAGAATAACCCCGGCCCCTGTTTCCAACAGAAACAAGTTGACTTTCTTGCTTCCATAGCTCAACATAAAGAATGCGAGAGAAACGCAGGAGTGAGATTTCCAAAGATAAAGCATATTACCATCAGGGTGTGACTCAGTCATGTGGGAAGCATCACATGTGAAGCTTCCACCAAGGAATTCTTCATAAATAGTTGCACCTCTTTTCTGTATTAAAAAATAATCGATGAATTAAATGCTCTATTAGCATTTATACAAAAACACCATATTTCATAGTAAGATAGAAATGAATGATTAGAAAATGTGTTTGTGAGATTATTGGGGTAGCAGCAAGTTCAAGAAACGTAACAGAAAGCCTGATACGGATTAACTTGAGTGAACCACAGGATACAGAATGTCCCTACAGACTTCGTACCTACAACCTTACAGATGATGTGATCCTACACAGAAAGAAAAAAAGGATATCCAGACAGACACCCAAATGCCATCGCCAAGGTCATAGATTTATAAAAAAACCTTAGCATGTTCTAACTATGTAAGTCATCACGATTCTGTCCAATAACCAAAAACAAGATTTCGTTAAAAACACCACCTATGTAAGTCTACATGTAAGTAAGAAACAATGATTACAGTTTCAAACTCTCTCTTTCGTAATGCAGTAACTTTGCACTTGTTTAACGTTTCTAAAATTAAGAAACTCAAATCTCAAGCTCAATGGCTATGGATTACGAGTCATCATTTCAATAAAGCTGACATTGTGACAACCAATATATACATGCCTTTTGATGATTTTTACCATTCTTGTTCTTAACAATATTTACAAAAGTTTCATCATATAACCAATCACAATGGAAATAAAAGAATAAATGAATCTAGCAGAGTGCTTGGTCAAGATTATGCAACATCAGTTTCACAATTTCAGTAGTTCGGCAAGATCAATTTCTAAATTTTTAGCATATTTTCAAGATTAGTTTTCAAACTTCTAAGAAGAGGTGGAGAGAGAGAGATACTGGTTCGAAGGAGAAGCAAGAGAGAGAGAAATGGACCAAGAAGAAAAAAAAGAGGACAGACAATAAAACAGTACAAATAAAAAGATAAAGACGTTGAATAAAATTATAAATGCAAGAACAATTAAAAAACAACCATGACATTGCATGTCGCATGAATAATTTTTATCTCTCTCTCAAACAAATAAAAAATTAAGTTTCTCTACAAATATATAGTCCTATCTAAGTTAGTGGACTGAATTGATTTCAACTTTCAGTTGATTTGTAGATGACTTTATCATGTAGAAACGACTTTCAATTGATTTGATTAGCTTTATGGTATTTCTGTTTTTATTCATGATATTGAGAAAAGCAAGTGTAAGTGATAGAATGGAACATACTAATCTTGATTTGAAGTTGTAATTAGTAGATTTTCGTTACAGAAGCTAGTTGTTACTAAAAAGAGTTTTAATCGTTACTAATTTTTTTGGTCATGAAGAGTGGTTGTGACTAAATGCTTACTAAGTCATTGTAAGAGTTGAAACAAATGATTTCTATATCGAGAAAACTGAAGGGCAAACACAAGATAATAGAACAAGGAGAAGTTACCAATCGAGTTCTCGGTTTTCATTTTTCAAAAAAGATATAAACTAAAAGCTGAAATGGTAATCGAACAGTCCCTTATTTTAAAGATTAAGATTAGGGAAGTGCAAATGAATATGTACTCACCCAAACTCTTAATAAATCAGAAACTGTCGATCATCTGAAGTGGACGGTTGCTCTTGCTCCTCCTCCTCCTCAATATCAATAGCAACATTGAGATCAATCTGCTGGCTCCGAAGAGAAGTGAAGCAGTTCGTTTTGGTTGCGCAATAGGCGATGCACCCCGCAGCTTTTAATGCGTGTGGCTTTGTGGAATAGAAATATAACTTGACAAATATCTCCCTGCTGCTCGTGCTCCTCTAAATCCACTAACTTGCTCCTCACATGAGTTGCCTTCATGTCATTGTCAAACCATACGTAAGGTTCAAACTTGACTATTCCGTTGATGAGAATACAAGCATAAAGAAAATGAAAAGTCGGTGGTTCAAAAACGAAGGATAGAGCCAATCCTAATAATGTCTCCCCCACTTGTAAATTTAGAGGAATTTCAAAACAAAATTCACTGCCACCAACAAACTCTTCATATTCTGGTGGAAGTTCAAGTGTTGTTGGATGGTTAGAGGTAAAGCTGAACCACTTTGGAACTTCATAGCCTGGAAGAACAACTTGAAATTCAGAGCGTCGGAGAGATTCCTGCAATAGTAGATATATATAGTTAACTTACAAACAATCGTTATCTGATCTCTCTCTGAAGTATATATCAACAAATTTTTTTTTCATTTCAAGAGAAATTAAGGAGAAGAGAGAGGAACCTGATGATTCAACAAATTGTTTTCCAACTTTGCCACCTCATCACCACTTAATCTAAAGCAATTAGTCAAGATCAGAAACTCAAACATAGGGGGCAGTTCTGGAATTTTCTCCAACGATCTGCAATCACTTAGATCTAACAAACGTAGTTTTGGTGGTAGGACTTGTGGAATTTTCTCCAATGATTTGCAATCACTCAATCTAAGTGACTCCAAGTTGACAAATTTGCTAATGCAATCCGGAAGACTAACAAAATTGTTACTCGACAGATCAAGTCTTTTTAATGTGGACCAGCAATTAAGAGATACAAGGAAATCACTTTCTGATAAATTGCATCCGTTAAGATAAAGCTTCCGTAGCACTGGAAGCGTTAATGTAATAGAATTGTTATCTGAAGTATCTAAGTAAGTTGAAAACAACTGTGATTTGGTACTGCAGGTTGAAACTTCATCAAACTTGACCTTATTCCCAAAAGTTAGGAGGTAGAGATTTTGCAACTCACAACCATTTGCTGCAAAACTCCCGAGCCCAGTAAGATAAGCAATTGATGAAGGCAGTTGTCTTATGCCACTTTTTTCTATATGCAAAGATAATAGGGATTCCATCTTGCCCTCCTCTATTTCTGGGAAACTCTCGAGCCTTGTGCAACCCTTGAGAGAAAGCCATCGAAGGGATCCCAATCCAAGTCTTGTTGCAAACCTCTTAAGTTTAGGGCATCCACTAAGATTCAATTCAACAAGTTTATCAAGGAATCCAACGGAATCATCAACTTCAACCAAATTTTTACAATTCCTTAGATTCAAGTACTTTATGTTTGGGCTTCCAGATAAATCGGGAATTTTTTCCAAGAATTCGCAACCTCTTAAATTCATGAATGTAAGCTTTGCCAAATTCTGTGAAACAAAAACCAAAATTCACATGTTCAAAAATAATATAATGACACACTTGAGGTTTTTTTTTTTGGAAATAATATATGTTTAAATAAATAATGATTCAAAATACTTTATAGTATATACCTTGAATTCCTTCAATTGTCTTATGCCACTGTATGACACATCAAACCTAACGAGATGTCTTGGATGATAATTGGACGGCAAATTGAACACAATCGTATGCTTTTGATGAATATCGGATTGTCCACCCAATTCAACCCACCTCAAATCGTTGGGCAGATAATCAACGTGTCCAGAAAAGCGTGCATTAAGATTTATAAAAATTTCAAGATTTACCATATGCAAAAAACTTTTTGCATTCAAGGGTATCACATCTGTTTTGGGCAACTTCACCACAATGCCTTTAATTTTCCATGTTCCCTGAGATGGAAAAAAAATGAAATATTATTAACAAACCATGTCGTTTAATTAACAAACAAAACACAAGGTCTATTTTAAATTTCTGTATTTTCTTTTCAAGATCATGCAAATCAAATGTATGAGCATATATTCTACTTACCCGATTTTCAGTTAGAACATCGTACACATCTTCATGAAACCACAATCTGCTACGTTTCCCTGGGTGAGTGGGAGATTCTTCGTAAACTATATGCTTACCCATTTTTTCTAGCAAGCCATGCATCAAAATCTGATTATCTTCAATAGTTATGATGGCATTCTCAACGAGTACTTCTATACAATCTTGAGGTACATTGAGCTTCGAACTTCTTAATATTTGTAACACGTAGTCTTTATCTGCGCCCTTGAAGAAGCATGCAATGTCTAGGAAAATTTGTTGCAGGACATTATCCCACGCATCATAAGTTTTTCGAAGTGTTCTTTGAATACCTCTATAAGGTTCTCCTTCGTAAGAATCATAACTATCTAATATATCTTGCCAGCGATCGATACTTTTATTACGCAGATGAGAACCTATAAGATTAAGAGCTAATGGAAGACCTTCAGCATAGGCTATTGCACGTCGTGCGAGTTCGAAATACATGTCTGGAGGCTCATTTCTTCCGAAGGCATTCAAACTCAAAAGCTCGAGAGCCTTGTCGTCTTGTAATTTTTGGACCTTGTATATCAACTGAACTTCATAAGATTCCAGCAATCCTCTATCTTTTGTGGTTATGATCACTCTACTACCCTCTCCGAACCAATCAACTTCAACCAGGTTGTTTAACTGCTCCATTTCATCCACATCATCAAGAATTAAGAGAACCTTCTTCCGCCTCAACAGTTTCTTTATAAGACTGATTCCTTCATGAACATCGACAACATTCAACTCTGTACCGCACAAAATTTTAGAAAGAAGAGTCTTTTGTAGTTGGATTACACCTTCACGTGATGTCGATATTTCTCTGACATCTGCCAGGAAACAACTACCTTGAAACATATGAGCAATTGCATTATAAACAGCTTTTGCAATTGTTGTCTTGCCTACTCCAGATGTCCCCCATATCCCAACCACACGACTATTTCCTCCGACACCTAGAAGCTCTTTCACCTCTTGTACGCACAATTGTATTCCAACTAGATGTTTGGCCACATTCAAATATGTGCGTTGTAGTACTTCGACTAAGATCTTCTTAACAATCTTATTGATAAGGGTAGCTTCAGAGCTAGCAATCAAAAACAAATCACACAATTAATTAGTACTTTTTTTTTTTTTGCTGTATCTCAGAGAAATGTGGAAGAGAGTGTAAAAACTAATAGACAGGAATATTAAACATATTAATGAAAAGTACAGAATATTTTTCTCTGCTTATCGCTCGCTAGAGATTTAAAGAGTAAAAATGAATCACAATAAATTGACACTAGCCTCCATGCACGTGCGTGAGTGCGTGCAAAAGACATTTTTTGAATTACGACGTGCTATGTTCGACTTACACGTTTTAAATGTATATATATATGTGCGTGTGTGTGTGTGTAAATTGACAAAAAGAAAGTTAAATATTTGAAGTAAATGAATAATCTTAGATCATGCTACAAAAAACCCCTCATAAACCAATTAAAGCAGCTGAATTTACATTAAGAATAGAGAAAATAATATTTAATAAACAATTGATTGAATCACATTATTGCTAGCTCATTGTGAGGCTAAGCTCACCCCCTGCCCCTTAGTGTAGATAATATCGTTTGTTAAAAAAAAATCATTTAACAACTAATTTAATCACATTATTATCCGCGTGCGAAAGACTTTTTTTATAATCGGCATTACACGCCTCTTAAGATATTTTGAACGTGTTTAAAATAGAGAAAATAATATTTAATAAACTTGTTGCTAGCCCCTTGTGAGGCTAAACCCACATCCCTCCCCCTTAGTATATATAATATCGTTTGTTACAAAAAAAAACAATCATTTGACAACTAATTTAATCACATTATTATCCGTGTGTGAATGAACTTTTTTATAACCGGCATTACACGTTTCTTAAGAAGTTTTGAACATGTTTAGAAATAGATAAATTGAATCAAATTATTGTTAGCCTATTGTGATGTACTAATTAAAAAAACCACAAAATAATTTAATTATTAAAAAATACTATTAAAATGACAAAAATTCCCCTACCTTATTTGATGCATTATTTTGGGATGCCTTTGAAGTTTTTTGTTTTGGGGGCATTTTTGTTGAAGTTTGGTGACACCAAAACACTATTCACATTTTATATATAATAGATTATTGTAGGCTTACTTTTTAGGTTCATTTTGGAGGGCTTTGGTTCTGTGTCCCACTATTTTTTTGTTTCAAATAAGGTTTATATTCTTTTTTTATTTTATTTTTTTATTGTAATATTCTTCTGTTTCAAGAGGGGGTAAGATTTTTGTCCTTGTTTTTTTTTTTTTTTTGGTATTTATTTTTCCTTGCATTTGAGGGGTGAGGATTATGTTCCTAAGAGTAACTGTTTTATTTTGATAAAAATAAAAGTCTCTCGTACCACCAAGATTTTCCAAAAAAACAAAAATTACATTCTTTTTTTTTTCTTCCAGAAAAACGATAATCTTAGTAGGTTAAATTGTTAATGGTTATGGGAAGAGAGATCGGTGTGGATCTTTCTTGCCCTAATATCAAATCTAACTAACGTTATCGTTCAACTCCTATATTTGTATTCAAAAGAAAAAGCATGTGCCGCTTGCTATGGATCTAAATAGCAAAACCGAAATACGCAGCTAAATTGACATTTGTACCATGAAATACAGGAATCAAGAAAATTAACCATACAAATATACAATACTAGAAGGAGCACAAATAAACTTACTCTTCTTTCTTGAGAGGATATCCTGACAAATTTGCTGCTTCTTTAACAGCACTCCTCCATGCGAGGATCTTCTTCTTGTTGTCCTTGAATTTGCACTCAAGTTCTGTAAACGCTTCACCGAAACTACCCGTGTGATTTCGTACATGGGACGGATCCACCGTGTAAAAAACTGGCCAAACTATTTGCTGCCTTGACTTTCTACACTCGAGGATATGAACGAGCTCGTCCAAGCACCATCTTGAGGATAAGTATTTTTCAGACAATACGATGATCGAAATTCTCGACTCTTCAATTGCTTGGAGAAGAGCCGATGATATTTCTTCTCCTCTTGTAAGATGGCAATCAATGAAAGTGTTGATTCCATTACGGACCAAGGCATGGTATAAATGATCTGTAAAATTGGTTCGTGTATCCTCACCTCTAAAACTCAAAAACACATCATATATCCATGAAGGAGTACTGCTGAAGGAAGAAGAAGAGACAAGTTGATTGGCCATGGGAGAATTAAAGCCAGATACACCAAAGAAAATAGCCTCAACAAGAATTGGAATATGCAGTACGGTATGGACAATGGACTCTCTCTTGATATATGTATCAGTCCTCATACTTTTCTTCCTACCAGTAGAGTAGTTTCCTACCTACTACCTTCGAATGTGGTCAAGTTGAAGGAACGGAAGTTTCGTCGCAACTTCATTTTAAAGGGGATTTCTATCCAGCATTAATTAAGAGCTGGGGATTGACTAGAAAAAATTTATATTCTAGAAACTAGCAAACTTTTACTTAATTAATTAAGGGCGTGTTTACGTGTCCGTGGATAAATCAAAATGGGCGGTACACGAAAAATAGAATCGGATTCCTGATTTTGGAAGAATTGTATTCTTGAGGTAGGAGGTGTCATTTGAATTCCGGGAGACATGTGGAATCCGGAATACAACTTTTCTACCTATTATGACCCCACCTAATTCATAAACTCCAATCTGCCACTTAAATCAACAAGTCCACATCTCTCCAGCGCCAGTTCTTCTATGGTTGTGGTGTCGTGGTCGTGTGGGGATGGAGGAGCGAGAGAGAGACGGAGCCGCAGGAAATGGTAATGAAGGATGCGCAGAAAATAAAATGTAGGGGAGGGAGGGAGGGAGAGGTGGTGGTGATGGCGGTGCCTGCTGGGGAGGACCAACGAAGGATACTGGGAGAAGAGGAAAAGACGTGGAGGTTTGAAAAAGTCGAAAAATTGGGCTGCTTGGGAAGTTACTGGGGGTGGTAAAAAAAAATTAGGTTTAAAAAGGTCAAAAAGGGTTAAAAGTTTAGTTTATGAAGAGACAGAAATTTCAATTCTTTATGGGTTAATGATGTTATGAAAATTAAATTTTATTAATTATCACATAAATAACTCATTTAGACCAAGGGCAGTTTAGTAATCAAACGGTTTCGATTCTATTAAAAAATGAATCAATAAACAATTTATATGGAATTGACATCATTTATACTCCGTTTTCCAACAGTTTAGTAAACACTTTTCATAAAAATCTATTTCTAATTCCTCATCAATCAAATTCCTCGTCAATTCAATTTCACCCATTTTGATTACGGATTAGTAAACGAAAGCTGGTTGAAGACGAAGTACATGCTTGAACCATATGCATATTGGCCGCTTGATAGGAAGTTGATGAGCCGTAGACCAGAGCACAGGGTGGCCGCAAGAAAGGGAAAGCGAGTGCGGTGAAGACGACGAAGAAGCTCGAAAGGCAGAGTGCCTCGGCTATCCTCTCCGCTAAAGACTTGGAAGTCTAAAACGCGGGTCCAGAAGAAAAGGGGCAGCAAGAAGAAAGCTAGGTGAAGAACCTCCCGCTTCTATCAACACATTCAAGGGGAATATATAACACAAGGGGCCTTTGATTTTTAGTAGTAATGGATGGCAAATAAGGAAAGGAACGTGTAGATTAGAATAGAATATCGCTTGCCCAAAATAAAAAAGTGAAGAGACATAATAAAGACAGGTCCCAAGTATACTATCCACCGAACTGAATAACGGACTATTTAGACCTACAGTTTCAACGCAAATCTGTACCAAAGGGGATTTCTGTTTCCCTGACTCTGAGTCATCTTTGAAAATTAAAGTTTGGAAAGAAGATACAAGTAGGTCGGAATTCGAAGAACGTAAAGTCATGCAACTGCAGACTAAATTTCATTACAATTATCTGATCAGCCAACTAATTGTACAAGAAAACCAAAATCAAACAAGGCAACTATTGCCTCAGCGGCGATTCAACGACTGGCACATAAAAGGAACAAACGCTACTGTGGCTATGGAAGGGAATTTTTCTTACAATAACAAGCAAAAGTATTTCTTGTTAACCATTGGGTGAACTCTTAATATTTTCTACTTAGGGGCCACCTCAACAGTCTTCTCGAGCGATTCAGTTTTCGTGGCCGCAATCCATCCGACCATAGTGAAGATCAAATACAAAGGAGATTTCTTGGGTGCTTACTTCAATGTGGATTCAGTCTTATCTGCAGATAACTAGTTCTGCTTACTTTGCAAGAAAAATAAACGAAAGAAAGATCATTGGTTTCATTGTTGAAGAAATATGTGACAGTGCTCGTAACTGTTCTACCATGTTGATTTCAAGTTGAAAGATATTAACTCTCAGACAGAGTCGCAATACTGCAGAATTATGTTTCGTACTACTATTTTTCATAAGAAATCCCGACACTTTCATTAACAAATTGCAGTTTTTTCTTATTTCTAATAAAAAGGTGGCAGTATGCAAACAAACCTTCAGTATGATTGCAGCAAAGGTTGGAGTAGTTCACTTAGATCTGTGTTTCTACTTGTATGGGGCAAACAAGATCGATGAGTTGTGGCCACCGAACCCAAATGAGTTAGACAATGCCACCTTAACGTCCAGTCTCTCTTTCTTTGGACCCACTAGTAGTTTTGTATCCTGCATTCACATGCTGACAGAGTTTGAGGATTCCAAATACACTTTCATTGGACATTATATACCAGAAAAGGGTTACAAGGGAACGGAAGACAACGTACCATGCCCTCATCTGGGTTTTCCAGATTAATATTTGGATGTATCCACCCAGTTCTTATTGCCTACCCAAAAAGAAGATTACATGTCAAGAACTACACTTCAAGCCAAACAAACAAGAACTGTATTTGGTCTTACATATATGATCTAAAAATAGTACAGTTTTTCCAAGTCAAAAACATCACGTAAGTTACCTGTACTGCTGCAACAGCTTCTACAGCACCAGATGCTCCCAGTAGGTGACCAATCATGGATTTTGTAGAGTTCACTCTCAACTGTAAAACGTAAAGATCTCATCGAACATAGAAATACAGGAATTAAGAAAAACAGATAATGCATCCTATGTATTGTTGTTACCTCAGGATTCTGGCCAAAACAATGAATGAGAGCATTATACTCCTTGAGATCTCCGGCCGGTGTGGATGTAGCATGTGCATTAATGTAATTAACATCTTCCCTAGACACCCCAGACTGTTCTAAAGCCTTTTCAATGCAGAGAATAACCCCAGCCCCTGTTTCCAAGGACATTAATAAAATAATTCAAATTCCAGAACTTGATGTAATTCATTGAAACAAAGTGCAAGGCGAATAAAATTATTCACACAAAAAACATGCTATAACGACATTATTCATACAAATATTTCCACATAATGTTCTTTCATAATGAACCTCAACTAGATCAACAGAAACAAGTTGCCAAAAACTTTCTTGGTTCCACAGCTCAACAAAAGAATGCGAGAAGCGTAGGAGTGAGATTTCTGAAGATAACGCATATTACCATCAGGGTGTGGTTCAGTCATGTGGTAAGCATCACATGCGAAGCTTCCACCAAGGAATTCTGCATAAATAGCTGCACCTCTTTTCTGTAATAAAAAAAATCGATGAATTAAATCCTCTTTTCTGTAAGATAGAAATGAATGATTAGAAAATGTGTTTGTGAGACTATAGGGGAAGCAGCAAGTTCAAGAAACATAACAGAAAGCATGATATGGATTAACTTGAGGGAACCACAGGATACAGAATGTCCCTACAGACTTTGCACCTACAACCTTACAGATGATGTGATCTTAATCATCCTACACAGAAGTAAGAAAAAATGATATCCAGACAGATACCCAAGTGCCATTGCCAAGGTCAAAGATTTAGAAAATACCTTAGCATGTTCTAACTCTTCTAGAAGCAAAACGCCAGCTCCTTCCCCCATAACAAAGCCATCACGATTCTGTCCAATAACCAAAAACAAGATTTCGTTAAAAACAACACCTAGGTAAGTCTACATGTAAGTAAGAAACAATTATTACAGTTTCAAACTTTCTTGCGAATGCAGTAACTTTGCACTTGTTTAACATTTCTAAAATTAAGAAACTCAAAGCTCAAGCTCAATAGATATGACTAGGTTTGGTTATAAATTACGACACATCATTTCAGAAGAGCTGACTAGATTCCAACATAAATTTACGATGTGACAACCAATATATGACATGCCTTTCGATGAGTTTTACCATTCTTGTTCTTAACAATATTTACAAAATTTTCATCATATAACCAATCACAGTGGAAATAAAAGAACAGATGAATCAAGCATTGTTATTGGCCACATTACACTATCCCAAGGGCGTGATGCTTTGGTTGGATCATTGTTTCTTTGTGACAGTGCTCTGCATGCCACAAAGCCTCCCAATCCTGCAGTGATAGCATAAGAATAAGATTATTATATTATTATACATGCAACTCAGAGGAAACTAAGAAATCAAATATGCAAAGAATGGGAGCGATACCAATAGGTATCATCACTGAATCTGAACCACCACAAAGCATAAGGTCCTGCATAATAGTTTAAAGAAAATTGTAAATCATTTATTATAATACACTCAAAGATCGTTCATCAGTATACCATTATTTTCAATTTTGCATCTAAACTACCACTAAATTACTTCACGTTGTAGGAAAATATTTTGCATCTAAACTCTACCACTTAATATGATTAGCAGAATACTTACTGCTTCACCTCTAATAATATGATTAGCCGAACTCAAAATACAGAAGTTGCTTGTAGCACAAGCAGTAGAAATTGAATAATTTGGGCCCATCCAACCCTGCAAGTGTAAGAGTAAATATCAGTTAAATGGACAAGTACAAAATCTCAGCGGCCATCACAAACTGTAAGAGTATGCATCAAATATATATATATATATATACACACACATATATATATATAACGTAGATATATATATACATACGTCTACACATACATATATATATATGCATAGATACATATATATATGCATACATACATGTTATATATACATATACATATAAAATATATACATATATATATATATATATATATATATTATAATCTCACCAGATCCATTGCCAGCATGGCAACCCATATTTGTGGTTGCGAAAGGTACACAGAAAGGGTTCATCTTCTTATAGGATACCCGTAAAGCTTCAATTGCATCATTGAAGATCTGTTCAATATCAAAACACAAAATGGATTTATCAAACATGATTGAAGCGATGGAAAACACATCAGATCTTGTCCCAAAAGCAGATTTTGTGGATCATTGTGAGACTATCTGGCTTGGAATTTAATTTTTGTGAGCTGCGTTTACAAGA